ATATTATATATATTGTATATAATAATTATATAATAAATAATAAATAAATATATATTATTATAATATTATTATATATTAAATATATATTAAGTATAGATAAATGCATATCCTATTTAATGCATGGGTAACACTTTATATAGATATATAGCTGAGTACAAAGGATACACAACTCAAAAAAATTTATTTTTTAATCATTTCTTTAATTTGGCTTGTTAAGTCAATGGAAAATGATTGATACATTTTTCGGTTCAACACATTTAACAAAATCCACTGGTTCAATATTTAAAATTTACCTTTGAAAATTTTCTCATCCTAAATTCAAAATTGAAAATATTAGTTTCTTAATTATTAAACTAGTGGGTGTTATTAGATGTGTTGAACCAGAGAGTGTATCAATAATGGTCCTAAGTCAATTTAGCTGGCATTTTCTTCATTAAAAGCTGGCATTTTCTTTATTTAATGATGTGGTAAACACAACTAGGATAATAAGCTTATTTGGACCCAAAAAAAAAAAAAAAAGCCAGGTCAGCTTCCCATTAATCTAAATGTGCCAGAACACTTTTCAAGTGGGCCGCACTTGAATTAAAAATTGTAAAATTTCTAACTAAGCAAAATTAAAAATTAAAGTAACATAAATACTAGTTTAATGAGCCAAAATAACCTTAATTAACATTAATTTCATTAAAAAAACTTGATTTAAAAAAATAAAAATCAAAAAATTGATTTAGGCTGCTATTCATCTTCTCAATTAGAGCACCATGCAACTTTTCTTTCTCCAGCAATTAAATTCTTTTTCTTCAACAGTCGATGGAATTTAGTTTGCTAAATTTAAAGAGCTTAAGTTTTGAACAACTCAGTTGTTTACAAAAACTTAACTTTCCTACGTCCATATTCAAAGTTCTCATGACATAACAATATTTAATTATCAAAACAAAAAAATAATTCTTGTAGATCCAGGCAATTTAGAATCTTTGAACTCAGAAATCTAGGTTTGTTCCAACTTTGCCCTTCTTTTGTTAATCCCAAAAGAAGAAGAAATTTGGATTTCATCTATTACTGCCTCTTTACCTTTGTTTTTGCTCTTATTGAAGATTCTACTGGTAGTGTTGTTGCAAAGAGATAGAGAGATAGAAGTGTAACTCCCCAATATTATATCAGAAGAAAAGTACGATTGTGGTTGGATATAAGTGTGGAGACCAGTCACTACTAACAACTTGAACTTGAGTTTTTGAGGGCTTATGGACCTTGGCTTGAAGAGTTGTTAGGCCAATGGTGGGCCTCGACTCAAGTTATTTTAGTTGGTATTAGAGAAGTTCCACCTTGCAAGGGTGAGACTATACCAAGATTCCTTGATATGAGTTTTTTGAAGGGTCTCCCTTGGTCTTGTAAAGCCTTGGAGTGGATGGTGGTGGCATGGTTAGGCTTTGGCCTCCAAAATCTTACATCGCTTAGAGTAGATCCTATAATTGTGGGCCAGTTTGGACTGGACTAGGAGTGGGCTTGATGAGGATGTCAAGCATTTTAAGTGGGGGAGATTATAATGTCCCAATCTCATATCAAAAAAAGAGTACCATTGTGAGTGGTATATAAGTGTGGAGACCAACTACTACTAACAACTTGAGTTTGAGGTTTTAAGGGCTTGTGGATCTTGACCTAAAGAGTTGTTAAGGTAGTGGAAAAAGAGAAGAAAAGAAAGGGGTAAATGTGGCATTGAACCCAAAAATTGAGTTTGTGAAACCTAGAGATCTAACCTTGATGGAATTTAAAATGATCATGTTAGAAAAAAGAAGGAGAGAGAAGAAAGGGAGGCAAGGAAGAGCGATGCAAAGAAGGGAGGAGGAGGGGCACTAGAAAGGAAGGAAGAAAGGCATTAGAGATGGGAGAAGACGAATAGAGAAAAAAAGAAATAAAAAATGAATAATTAAATCGGTGTTATGTAATTAAAAATATTTCATTTTATTTATTAAATAAGATTCTAATTTATTTTTAAAATTAGGTGTAGTGAGTCTAAAGTTGTCCACATATGATTTATAAGCCTGTCACGCCCCATAACCCAAATTCGGGAACGTGGCAGATGCTGTGCACTTATGAAAGGATCCCACAAATGCACGAGGGTCCCACAAATGCAGAAGGCTCGGAACTTACTGAGTTCTTAATTTTCGAATTAGATAATTCAAATCTAAAACTTAGGTAAAATCTAACTTTCCATTACCAAAAATTTTACTAGTCAAGATGTATAACAATTTATAAATAGCTATGGCTATAACTAGGGAAACTCTGTACACAAAAATGGTTATTTGGGTCAACCATGTGAGACCAGCGACCTAACTCCAAAAGATCTAAATCCAAAATAACGCCTAGCCGTCTAACTCGTCACTCCCCAGGCTCCTCATGTGTCAGGTATCACTATCTAAAATGGTGGACAAGGAAAACTAGGTGAGATAAAATATCTCAGTAAGTAAAATATGGATAGCCCTTGATAAAAATTTTTAAGCATGCCAGATAAACCATGTAAGCATAACAAAACTTTCAATGATAAACCATTCATGCAAGATAAAACTCATCAGTAGTTTCATCTATAAGTCATGGCCAGTGTTTAACAAACTCCTACTGACAGGCGTCAGTAATGGTACCAATGTTTAACAAACTCCCACTGGCAAGTGTCAGTAATAACCAATGTTTAACCCCATTGGCAGGGTTACAAAAGTACCAGTGTTTAACAAACTCCCATCGGCAGGCGTCAATAATGATACCAGTGTTTAACAACTCCTACTGGCAGGCGTCAGTAATAACCAATGTTTAACCCCATTGGCAGGATGAACCGGTTCTAAAGAAATACATGTCGACATGTGCTAGCGTTTGCAAACTCCCACTAGCGGGCGTCAGTAATCATGACTTATCAGAGACAAAACCATGCAGAATTTACAGAAAACCCATAATTCACCGTTAATCTCAATTTCAAAAATAAACTAAAAAATTTCATGTGGGCATGCTCAACTCTAGAAAATCAATGAAATTCTCATTTTTATTCCAATCATGCTCAATTCCAGAAAATAATAATTTTCATAAAAATCATCATAATTTTCATTTCAATTTAATCTCAGATGATGATAAAATCAATTTAAACCTTGCCACCATCTCAAAAACAATTTAAAACATGTTTTAAAATCGAAGGGTTTTGCCATAATTTACTTACCTCAAATCGCACCAAACAGAACACTAATCCAAGTGCTAGAGTGCAGAATAATCAAGTACCTAATCAAAATATTTCCAAAATCAATACCCATATAAAACGACATATTTAATCCTTTCCCAATTTAGCCGGCAATTAGCCCCCATAATACCCTATTTATTTATTTATTCATTTTTCTATCCGAAATTAAGCACAAAATCAATTGTGCATTTATATATATATTTGCATAATACACATAAAATTTTCCCATTTACTCACGGGCAGCACATGGAGAGCATGGCTTTGGCAAACCACAACTCACACACACAGGATTTTTCTCTCCAAAACATCACAGCAATTAATCAAGCTAATTCTACCTTAATCAAGCTTAATTATGCTCTAATTGCTACTGGAGTTCATCCCCATTTTCCAGCAGATTTCGGACAACACAGAGCATCAACTAAATGGACAAAACCCAGCAATTAAATGGGTAATTTCGGACTTAATGGGGCTGTCAACATACCAGAATTTTCCCAGCAGCAAAGCCGGTTCTGGCGGTGAGAGGGGCTGCAGAAAATTGGAGAGAAATTAGCACAAAATTGAAGGAGATAAGACCAATTAGAGTGAACCTAACTTGAATCAAGGCTAAAGGGATGATTTCCTAGTTGTTCCCTTACCAGAAAAACCGAGAAGCACTCCACCGGCAAGAGCAGCTCGCGGAAGGACAGAGCAGAGCAGAGCAGATCCGAAAATTCTGCAGAAGGGGAGGGATTTCTGGGTTCAATTTCAGTCCTAGAACAGGAAAAGAAGGAGAAAACTTTAAGCTCTTACCAGTTTTTCTCAAGAAGAGTGCGTCGGTGGCTATGGGGGAGGCTTTCGGGAGGCAGAGTCGGGAAGAAGAAGAAGATAAGCAGAACACGTGACTGGGTGAGGAAGGAAAAATAAAAAAAAGAAAAAGAAAAGGAAGATAAATTAGTCAATCCTTATCCTATTTCCTTTCTTCTAAGCCCCTAGACTTTGAAAGTTTCTATTATTAAGGCCAACAACATTATTCTCTCACAATTAAGTCCATGACTCACCTTTAAATATCTTAGAAAATTTGGGGATATTACAAAGGCCATATCATTTCTCATTATGTCTAGTTAAGCTTACTATCCTATTGTATTTACCTCATAATTAAAAGAAATAAAATAAATGCCACTTGGACTAACTTAATGGGTTAAATTGATGGAAAAATAAAATAGTTTAGGGACTTGCATAAATTAATTTAAGGACTAAATTTGTTCAAAATTGAAAGTTTAGGGACTAAATTTGACAGTTAACCCTTATTCTTACGTGAAAGAAACAAAAACAAAATATAAATGGAAGTGGAACTCATCCCTTTTTGTTGTATGTGGTGACTAGGGATTAAATTTGAAATTTTTGATTAAGAGCATATACAAGCTTTACTATTAGATTACATGTATGATGGTTGGTTGATCCTATCATAAAAAGAAGGAAGAAATCAATTCTCCAATGATAATTTCAAGGACTTGAAAATGATTACAATCTTACTAACAAGATATTTTAAATTAATCATTTTTTTGTATAATATGTATCTCATAACCTTATAAATAGAGTTGTGCATATGTAAATATATATATATATATATATATGAAGAAAAATAAACATAAATATCCCATAAAGGATTCTATCATGGACTACAAGGCCTTTTGCATCATGACAACCTAATGATGAGTTAAATTCACTCTAACAAGAGTACTAGTCAATTCAAGTAATATAATGATGAAAATAAAGTATTGTCCCATAGAGCTATAGACTAATTAAGTACCAAAATTAAATAATTCTAATTTTATTTGAACAATTATAATTAAGTGATTTGATCAATAAAGTAATTAACTAAAACATTAAAGGAAAACTATATTGCCTTTGAGTAACACCAAGAGTTAAAATTCTAAGGCTTTCGATTTCACCATAATCAATCAATATAGAATGTAAATTAATATACTTCCAATGTATTTACTATTCATGTGATAGTAGGATTTCCTATTCTATTCAATATACTTTCTCAAGTTATACCAAACCTATCTTCACCTATTAACTCACTATATCTCTATGTGAATTTAAATAGATAAATATGCATTATGTTTTGTGAAATTCCTTAATTTACATAGAAAATTAAGTCCATTTATCACTAATGCTACATAAATCATGTTGATCCATCTCTAGTTTTCATTTGATTCATGGTATATATTACTAGAAGCTATTGCATAAAATTTGCTCTCAGTCTCAATTATGCTCCCCAAATTAGTTTTAATGGTGGCCAATTATTAAAAAGCATTACAAACAATAATATATATTCTACATAAAATAATAAACTTTGAAAGTATAAAAATCATGAAATTCTACATCAATTGACTAGGCTACATCATAGCCTTAGATGGCTAAATTAGTTCATACTAATCATAATAAAATTTGAAATTAAATTGATGAACCACGATTCCATATCCAACAAAAGAAAAATAAAGTGTAGGAGAGAAAAACCCAATTTTTGGTACATTGGAACCACTTTTGTACTCTTCATTGGTGTTCTCTTCCTCTTGTTCTTGATTAAAATCTCCACAATGATTGCCTTTATTTTCTTCGTCACCTACACAGAGATCTCACTTTGGTCTACCTCTACAATGCCTTGAAAGCTTTGCTAATTATAACTCTCCCCCTGCCACTTCATTGACTCCCTTTACTTTCTACATCCCCAATTGTGTGCCCTTATTAAAAGCCCAGCTCATCTCCTCAATAAAAGAAAGAAAGCCCACATGTCCAATGTTGTGCACACATGTATGGAGGAAGAAAAATCAATTTAAGTTCTGGTCTTCAAATGGAGAAATTATGGAACAAACTTCATCTTTTCAAATTTTGTCATTTCAACCCATTTACTCTTGATTTCTTCAATTTTATCCTCTACCTACAAAGAATGATGAAAACAATATAAAATCAAATAAAATCACCCTAAGAAAATATAGAAGACTCCAATTAATGACTAAAAGGCCATGTAAAATGGTATACAATTTAGGCTTATCACCTAACATGATATACCTAACAACTGTCTTACTTGCAACCTTTTGAAATAGTTTGTTTTTAATAGCATCAAAGTAAATGAGTCCTTGCATAGAATCATGATGATCTCACGTCAAAGGAGTACTTACACTTGTGTTGTAACTAAGAAGATACTAATGACATGTGCATGTAAAGTTATCATGGTGGGTCAATTCAATGCATGCACTCACTTTGAGTCACCAACATGTGATATGTCACACCTCAAAACCAAGAGCGAGATAGACGCCGTACACTTGTGAGAGGATCCCAAAATGCACAAGGCTCGAAACTTAATAAATCCATAACTAACAATCCATATAAACTTAGATCAATATTTCAAAATAAAATCTAACTTACAAAGAATAATCTACAACTCAAAATTTATGTCCAAAATACAATGGCTAGCCTTCGAACTTGTTACTCCCCTTGGTTTCCCACGTCTCGAGTCACACTACCTGAAATGGTGGACAAGGAAAAACTATGTAAATAAAAATATGGATAACCATTAATTAAAGTTAAAGCATGCCAGATAAACAATTTGAACATAAACTAGAAGAAATGTCTCAGTGATAAACCATTAATACAAAACAAAATTTAGTAGTGGTCTCCTTAATTAGTCATGGCCGATGTTTAACAAACTCCCACTAGTAGGCGTCAGTAATAACCAGTGTATTATCCCACTAGCAGGATTATAGAATGAACCGACCTTATAGGTATACATGTCGACAGGTGCTAGCGTTAGCAAACTCTGAATAGCGAGCATTAGTAATCATGACAATATTGAGACAAAACCATGCAGGAGTTATACGAAAATCCATAATTTACAAATCAATTTCAGGTTATCAGAACAGTTCAATAAACTCCAAGTAGGCATGCTCAAATCAATAAATGACAACAATTTTTATTTTAAACCAATCATGCTCATTTTTGTATAAAATAGGTTTAGTCCTGCCACCACTTCAAAAAATAGTTTAAAATATGCTTGGAAACCTTTACCTTAAAAATCCAAGGGCATTTACCATAAGTTTACTTACCTTGCCTTATAGGTTAACAACGAGCAAGGAATTCAAGAACTCAAAGCACTTGACGTAATGTAAAACCTATACCACATCAATGAACACTTAGAATAGGCTTAAAACAACTCCAAGAGTCACATGAAATAGCAGGTATTCTAAACAGATTTTCTGGACAAAATAAGGTGGAAAAAAATGGTGAGAAATTGTGCTCTTTGGCTAGCCTAGGCACAGTAGAAATATTGGGTAGAAAAGTGGGGGGTTTTTGCCATTTAAAGCAGTCCCCAAATGCTTGGAATAAGCCCTGAAAGATAGGGATTTTTGAGCAAAAAGATAGCAACAAAGCAGGGTAGAACAAAAACTAGAACTGTGCAAAAATGAACAGTATTTAAGCAACAAAAAGGACAGCCAAAGTAAAGCAATAACAAAGGATTTTAGAGCAAGAAAACAGTAGCTAAAAGTCTACTAATTAGATAATTACCCATATACAATTTCCGGGATTGGGTATTTATCTATGTATCTACAATTAGATAATTACCCATATACAATTTTTCTCAATTTCATGGACAATCAATGGGACAACCGGCCTTGACAAGAAATGGCCAATTCACGGGATTCTCCCCTTTCTTTCTCTCGGACCTCACACAACAACCAAACCTACTAATTTCCTACATA